GGCCTTACTACTAGGAACAAGAAGCTACTAGGGGCTCCTGGCCTTACCACTAGGAACAAGAAGCTACTAGGGGCTCCTGGCCTTACTACTAGGAACAAGAAGCTACTAGGGGCCCCTGCCCTTACTACTAGGAACAAGAAGCTACTAGGGGCTCCTGGCCTTACTACTAGGGAGCAAGAAGCTACTAGGGGCTCCTGGCCTCACTACTACTAGGAACAGGAAGCTACTAGAGGCTCCTGGCCTTACTATTAGGAACAAGAAGCTACTAGGGGCGCCTGGCCTTACCACTAGGAACAGGAAGCTACTAGGGGCTCCTGGCCTTACTACTAGGAACAAGAAGCTACTAGGGGCTCCTGGTCTTACTACTAGGAACAAGAAGCTACTAGGGGTTCCTGGCCATACTACTAGGAACAAGAAGCTAATAGGGGCTCTTGGCCTTACTACTAGGAACAAGAAGCTACTAGGGGCCCCTGGCCTTACTACTAGGAACAAGAAGCTACTAGGGGTTCCTGGCCTTACTACTAGGAACAAGAAGCTAATAGGGGCTCTTGGCCTTACTACTAGGAACAAGAAGCTACTAGGGGCCCCTGCCCTTACTACTAGGAACAAGAAGCTACTAGGGGCTCCTGGCCTTACTACTAGGGAGCAAGAAGCTACTAGGGGCCCCTGGCCTCACTACTACTAGGAACAGGAAGCTACTAGAGGCTCCTGGCCTTACTATTAGGAACAAGAAGCCACTAGGGGCGCCTGGCCTTACCACTAGGAACAGGAAGCTACTAGGGGCTCCTGGCCTCACTACTACTAGGAACAGGAAGCTACTAGGGGCTCCTGGCCTTACTATTAGGAACAAGAAGCTACTAGGGGTTCCTGGCCTTACTACTAGGAACAAGAAGCTAATAGGGGCTCTTGGCCTTACTACTAGGAGCAAGGACGCTACTAGGGGCCCCTGGCCTTACTACTAGGAACAAGAAGCTACTAGGGGTTCCTGGGCTTACCACTAGGAACAGGAAGCTACTAGGGGCTCCTGGCCTCACTACTACTAGGAACAGGAAGCTACTAGGGGCTCCTGGCCTTACTATTAGGAACAAGAAGCTACTAGGGGTTCCTGGCCTTACTACTAGGAACA